ATAAAAGTTCTATGTTTTATATATAGGCTAAAGTGAGTTTGACGTTGTATTTTGTTGTTGCATTCAAGCAATTGACGCCGAACTGCCGCTAATTCGAAAGTGAAAGTAAAATGTGCACGGCGCTTTTAAGCTATTTAAAAGCGAAGGAAAGCGAGGAAAAGAGGGGAAATTCAAACGGACTAAAAATTAACAATTGCTTTACGCCGAATTGCCGCTATTTGAAAGTGAAAGTAAAATGCGCACGCAGCTTTTACAAGCTACTTAAAAGCGAAGGAAAGTCAGGAGAAGAGGGAACGCCCCCGCCCCCACGGTGATACCGGTGTTGTCACACGTCGATTAACCGGTGGGAAAACTTCCTCACCGTCACAACCCTACCCCGAATGCCCAAATGATTGAGTTGTTAACATTTGTTAGTAGGGAGGTCCTAGTAAGGGCAAGATAAAAATAATGCTTTCTGCCTAAAGGCCTGAAGTTTTGCAAAAGATTAGCACATTAACAGTGCAAATTGTCAAGGTGGGGTCAACAGCTGCATTTTAAGTGCGACATCCTCAACAAACACAGGAGATGAGATATAAGAAAGCTAATTAATACCAATAAAACAATTGAAATAACACTAATACTAATAAAGGTGTTTCAAAAGACTCTAAATAAATAATGCAACTGTTAATCCAACTGTTATTTGCTGGCCCATTAATGCTGGCATGTAAAGCAGGCAACATGCAAACAGGCTGGTTTTGAATTAAATAATAAAAAAGTCCATGCCTTCTTGTCCTTCCACATCAAATATATTTGTTTAGAACAGTTTTGGACTGTTTTTACTTGTAAAACAGTGCCTGATCTTTGCTTGATCCATATTGTGACGCGAGTAAAATAGATTATCAAAATAATAGGGACATGAAAAGAAAGGAGGGTGGGAATGTGGGCTATGCATCGGTTGTTAATTGGAGGCCGATCTGAATGTGAATTTGACAGACTGGAAGAAAGGGGTTTTAGTGGACTAAATGATTGAAGAAGTCTGGTATATCACTCAACCAAATCAGCCCCAAAAAATTATCATTCAATAGCCTAAATGAATCAATAGGATAGGATGAATTTCCACTAAATGCCAGCTTAAGGCAACAGCTTAAATTTTTTTGTGTACAGTTCTTTCAAAATTAATGCACCTTCAAAAGTGATGCAGTGCCAATGTCTTTGCCAGACCAACAAAAACAAAATGTGACACAGATGACAGTTGAAATTCACTGTATTATTTTAAAAACCACATAACTATTTGTGACGCACTGATTCACGGTGTATCATTGATACAAAAGAACAGCATCATCATCTGACTGCATCTGACTAAAAAACAAACAAAACTGGAATAGAAAAGCAACTCGTTGTGCCCGCGAGGCACGCTGGAGACGGGCCATTGGTCTTGTTAAAACACTGGTGCTAAACTGCTGTCACAATGCTACGTCCTCCCTTTGTCTGCACACTATTGTGTACCAGACATGCAAACGGGAAAAACATCCTATTGTGAGATCCCATTCTGGATCAAAGATAAACCTCAGCTAGTCAAAACATACATTTACACTCACTAGCTGGAACTGAAAAGCTGGAACAGACCACAAAAGTGCCCATCAACGGTCTCTAATCACATTAGAGTTTCTTCAGAGTAGTGCAAATCTACAACACCATCTGAAGCATTTTAAACAAGCTTCAAACTTCAGCCGTACAGAGACGTGGCTTCAAAAAGCATCACGTGTCCAATGTCATGCCCCTGTTCAGCTTCTGAACGGGGAACTTGGAAAGAGGAACAGAGAGCCATCAATACTATGGCTGATCAAAGCTTGGTAGTGTGTTACATCAAACAGTTGAAGTCTTTCAACCACCTCTTTTCATCTATTTACACTTCAGCATCTGTGTCATAATCAAGCTCAGGGTGGAAAAAGAGTGTAGACTACATTTTAATTTAATGAATTTAATTAATTCGTACATCTGTAACCCTGTGCTTAACAGATGCTCTGTGTTTTTCTGACAGCGCAGCACCAGTAAACGCAACATGTATCCCCAGCTCACATTATGTGACTTCAGTGTGTCTAACCACAGTAAAGGTTTTGTGGGATATCAAAGAGGGTTCTGGTGGTTTCCTGTAACCATCAGCCGATATTGAGAAGCTTTGAATATAACACTTGTGAATTAGACCAGATTCACTATCTCATCCAACACTGATTTTTGAGTACTGGAACAAAATGGGACACAAAATCTAAAAAGTATAGTTTACATATCAAGGAATTATAATATAATTAATTATAATTATAAAACAATATGTGCATTTGTTTACACACTCAGATTCAAAAGGAATGAGCCATTATGCCATACATATTTATTATAAATGTGGACAAATCCCGCACTTTAGTGTATGAATGAATTGAGCATACAGGATGGTTTCTAATTTTAAGAACCATCTATTGAATTGTCACCACAGCCACACAGAATATAATTCAACAATGACAAAATATTTTTCATAGGATTTGTGTATCAGATTACTAATTTGTCTATGGTGTTGGGTGCCACTGACCTGCTACTCTTAAAATGATGGAAATTATCTAAAAATACCTTCCAGAAAAATCCCACAATTACCTTAAACTATTTAATAAAAATAATAAATGTCACCAGAGCCTGTGTGATATTGTTGAACTTAAAATGAGGGAAAATTGTCTAACAAACAATCCCAAACAATTTTTTATATTTTGTATGATGATTTGTAAATATCATGGTTGTGACAGAATTTTTTTTTAAACACGATCACTTAACTTACAATTATGTATAAAACTTTTTTTAAAGTCTCACCAGAGCCTGTGTGATGTTACTGAACTCAAAGCAAGTGAAATATTACAAGACCTTCAGGATGAAGGCTGACTTTGATAGTACCTGAATTATTTATTTAAATATCTGAATATTTAAATTAAGCTTAAAAGCTTAAAAAGAGGTAATGGTGTGATTAAGTCAAAAACGGAAATGTTGCTATTTTAAAAACTAATGTTAGGCAAAGTTGTGAAACCTGTTTTGTTAAATGTTTTAAGATCAGCCAACAGCCAATGATCGCCGGGTTCCTGTGAGCGAGTGTTTACAGTAGAAGTCAATTCAAATCAAATACATATTGTCGAAACAGATGGCCTCCAGCATAGATGCTGATTTAATGACACGACTGAACAATCGACAGCAGCAAACTGAGCAAAATATCACATATGACTGAACCCTCGTGAGTCGTGAAGTCGTGGGAAAATCATCGCTTCGTTCACACAAACTCCATATTTTCCCTCATACAGACTTATAGGCGATTTATAGCAAATTAAGTTGTATTTGCAGTTTCCTGTAAAGTAATATTTAATTTACAGAGCTAAACTAGTTGAGCAGCTAACGTTTAAGAGACACCGCACTAACCCCTCGTGTCAAAACTTGCTTAATTTTCTTTAAAAAAAAAAAAGACTGAAACTTACATTGTCCCGGCCATTCTCCTCACATTGTACGGTTCAACCACAAAAAGTATAAAGGGAAAGGGTAAAGAAGGTAAAACGTTATCCCCTAGGTCTGTAGGACGTCCTGCGCGAGAGCTTCGTGATGTGCCTTGAGTCCCAAATGCTGCTGCGCGCGCGTGAGCCGGATGGCGTCTAGTAGGCATCTCTCTCTCTCTCTCTCTCTCTCTCTCTCTCTCACTCACTCTCTCTCTCTCTCTCCACCCCCTACACACACAGATAGAGCCACTACGCTTTGCTACACACTGAGTAATTGTGACACCCAAAAACTTTAGTAAAACAAACTACATGCTTTGGAGAGTTTAGGAGTTGGGTTATACTACACGACAGGTGCAAGTTCAGGTGGATTTGGATTCATATGTTTGATTGCCTGAAGGGATTTATATCGGATTCAAACAGCGCCACCTGCTGTCGAACAAGGTAACATGTTGTAAATCAAACATTTAGATATCAAACAAGATATTTATTCTGTGTCTCTTTTCGCAAAACGTACAAAAATCATCTGGCTGCATAAAAACTGGACTCGATTAAGAGCTGGTTGTGTGCAAAATAGAGCTGTACGATTCAAGATGAGACTGTTTTTAATGGAGGTTGTAGTTCTCTCACAATTTTGAAGAAAAAATATTAGACAACTAAACAAAATCTCACTGAATTTATGAATGGAATGATTCAATGACTCACTCAAGATTTACTTGTTTCATTACTGGATGAATCAGTGTTTTTGAGTTAATCTGATTCAAAGACAAATACATTTTTAACAGCCCCTTTTTGCCAACTAAAAGAAAAAAGATGCACAAACAGGAATTGATAGGGTTACTTATTTTACAATAAGTATCAGATTCCTGACCGATTCTGGAATTGGAATTGATTTTCGATTCCCAACCCTATGCTACACTGCTTAAAATACACAATGTATGCATGATGGTTTAGGATTTGGCTATCTATCTTGTCTCCCAGCCTAGCCAAGCTGGTTTTAGCTGGTTTAAAATGGTCATTCAGCCTGGTCAATATGGTGTTTAGCTGATTTAGCTGATCAGTAAAATGGTCTCCAGTCAGTCTGGCTGTAAAACGTAATTATTATTTATTTATTTTGGTAGCAGTGTAAAAGAAATCATAAGAATAGTATCCACTTATAATCCATTTATATAGAGATCCACACCCACAGAAATATTTTATAAATAAAAAAGTCAGAAAATTCCTAACACTGCTGAAAATAGCTGGTTTAAACAGCCAACAGCGAGGCCAACCTGGCGGAGAGACCAGTACAGAACAGTAAACTAGTTTTAGGCTGGTTTTAGTTGTTTCCTAATTTTCGTTTAAGTTGTTTTAGGTTGTTGTGTTCTTTTTTTATATTCCCCAAATATATATGGGGAATATAAAAGAAGTACTTACTTACTTAATCCTCTTCGTCCCAAGTGAGACAAAAGGCCGCAAAAAGAAGTACACATGGGTATTTAACACTTTATTCACCAACAACTACACCTTCATTGTTTTCCAAATTTCAAGGCAAAGGAAAACAGCAAAAAGTAAGGAATTGGTTGATGATGACAACTACACAAATATTTGAAATTACATAACTATTATAACACATGACTCAAACACTGTTTAGTATGTTATTAATAAGTGCATTCAAATGAAACGTAAAACCTTTGTTAGACTGAGGGTGCTCTCCTTTCACGAAGACAAACTCACTTATGTTCAGTCTGGTAAAACTATTCTAATATTTACATTAATTGCACATACATTCAAATACATACTATGCAGCATTCAGTTCCACGTGTTAACTTACAGTAGCACCATGTTTGAAAGTAATATTTCCATGAAGAGAATCACATAGGTTGCAGGTGACATTAACATCATTATAGCACAACATGTGTAAAGTATTATGATATTTCCTTGGGATTTTCACTTTGAGAGTAATATTACAATATCCACAGCAGCAGAGGTCAGAGCACACCGGCCCCGCGTTTAACACAGTATCAGAGTCCCACAGTCTTAGAGGAATGATAAAGAAGTAGTGTGTTTACTGAAAAATAGATGACAGGTTCATATCTTGATGATGAGCCATGTGAGTTTTCTCGTCTTATGAGATCAGTGAAGGTGATCAATCTTAGCCACAAAATGTTACATGCTTTATTGGACAGAGATTTGCTCATCTCCATCAAAGTCCATTATGGTAAAAAGTTTCCATGATTGAAGTCTTTCATTAAAAAGTTCACAAAAAATGTAGCGAATCAAAAAATGTGGATAGAAACATTAATGAACTGCATTGAGAGAGAAACTGAGATGACCACACTGATACAACTCCACACTTCATTACAGCTAGACGTTTGCAGAGTTTACTTGCTGTCCTCGGGTCAGGAGTTCATCGGTTCACATTCCTCACCTCTGCGCATCCTTCACAGTGGATAGTAGAGACAGATCTAACCTACCCATCCTTCCCAAATTTGGCCCCTGAGTAAACAAACAATAACAAATCTTAGTTCTGATAACGGAACTTCAGGTTTGAGCAGAATATGAACAACATAAAGACAAAAGAAAGTCAAGTACAAAATGAGGACAATGTGTAATTATGGCAGTGGGACGCTCTGCACCATTCTGTACTCTGTTAACACACTTTTTTATCAGTAATGAAAGACTCTTGTCGTCACGTGCGCATCTAAAGGAATGTCAGGAGAATTGAAAAGCTGCTCATGCAGCGAGGGACAGCATGAACATACACTGTGTGACAGAAGGAAGAGGGCTACTGAGGATTAGGGCTGATAACTGGCTGGCTGAATTATATTAAGCAGATGGTGTGTACAACAAACTCACATTGATTTGGAGGACGGTTTCTTCACTTTTGGCCTCTTTCGACGATGAAGAGGCCTGAAGCATGCAAAAACACAAACACATTGCAAAGATAAGAAATAGATAAGATAAAAAATAAGAAAAATCTTTATAGTAGTAATAAATATAAACATGTGTATGTGTGTGTGTAGATATTTATATTCATTAGTATATATTAGTATAAATAAATGTAATAGTTAAATACTTTATAATAATGAAAAAATATTGTAATGATAACACAAACATGTAAGATTTTGAATTTTTTTTTTAAGTTTCTTAAGCTCACAAAGGTTGGATTTATTTGATAAAAAATACAGTAAAAACAGTAATATTGTGAAATATTACAATTTGAAATAACTGTTCTATTTTATTATATTTTAAAATAGAATTTATTTCTGTAATGTCAAAGCTGAAATTTCAGCAGTCATTACTCCAGTCTTCGGTGTGATCCTTCAGAAACTATTTTAATATGCAGATTGTTGCTTAAGAAATATTTCTTATTATTATCAATGTTGAAAACAGTTGTGCTGCTTAATATTTGTTTTAGAGACCATGATACTTTGCTGAATAGAAAAAGCTTTATTTTATTTATGAAATAGAAATTGTTTGTAATATTATAAATGTCTTTACGGTTACTGATCAATTTCATGTTCTCTTGCTGAATATATGAATTACTTTCTTTAAAAAAATCTTACCCCTTATCACTTCAGAACAGTTGTACACACACACACACACACACACACACACGTATTAATAATAATCCTTTTTATTTAGCCGTTAAAACAGGAATGAACCATACCTGTAATCGTACAAAGAGTTTCTTTCTTTACCACCTATAAGAGATAATGATGTGTCAATGGGTTATAGATTGTATGTTTACAGGTATTATGTTGAAATGCAACATCAATGCCAAAACATTCATCACGTGGCATGACTCACCTGTCTCCTGATTGCACTCTTTGTGACCTTTACAGCTGCGCAGTTTCATGAGCTGCTGGTGCATGTGATTCACTGCATCACGATCAAGTGTGCTCACAGCATTTATCAGCTGCACAGAAAATAACACGAGTGGAAATGATGTGGGTCCCCGTGATTATTTTAAATCTTCTTTAAAAACTAAAAAAGCCTAAAAGAGATTTTAAAAGAGACCTACCTGATAAGGGTCTGTGTTCAGATCAAAATACTCTAGGAAGCCAGTGGCAAACTCACAAAATAGGAAGTTGTGTGTCTCATTGATAGTCCTCAGACACCAGTAAGTGTTATTGTTGGCACTGGTGCAAGCACAAAATGGCCCCACTGACAACACAAAAAGATAATATAAGTGAAATCACATCATTATTTAATTAAGCAAACATATTAAATACGGTTGTGTGTGATATATGAAAAAAACAATGATGTGATATGCTATGCTCTGCAGTACTTGTCCAGAAGGGGGCGGTCTGCCAGTGCTGGTTATCATGGGTGAAGCAGGTGAGGCCTGGCATGCTGCAAGTGTCATTATTACGGAGGTGCTTCAGGAGCTTCCTCAGCTTTTTCCTGCGTTTCTGCTCTTTCATCAGCCACTGTTTCTTATCGTTGGAGGTCTTTCTACTAGATTAAAAGAACAGATATCTTCACTACCTACAGTAATCAACTGTCAACTGTAGATTGCAACATTAGTGATAAGGCGTTAGTGTGCCTTCCTTCAGCTTTATGACAGATGATGAATGAAAACCTACTTGACAGAATGCATCCGGCCTGATTTGAGTTTGAACAGTCCCCTATTGTTGTGTTGATACCTTTAAAGAAAACATTACACGATTATGTGAAATGTGTGATCAAGTCAACACTTAATGAAAGTATGAAAACCTTTTTTATGTAAAGGTGGAGGCTTACATGTTTTGGTTGCATTCACACTCTTTCGGTCGAACCTGCTTTAGATGTCCTTTCACCTCTCTGAGATTCTTTATTTTGGTCTGCAATGTCTCAATCTATTCAAAGAGCAAACATTTTTTAATAGTAAAATCAGTTCTTTGTTTTTATTCAGATTGTTTAAGAACAACTTCATAATCTTACCTCATGCTCAATGTGTAGTTTGTGATCTTTCCATGCTTGTAGAGATTTATATAATCCACCATCGCATCTGACTGTGTCGTTCATCAGTATTGAGCATCTGAACAAAAAAGTAAAGTTCCTTTTTCAGTTGTCTCTCTAGGTTTTAAACAAGTAAGTATGCTTATTAGATTTTCACTGATATTAGTTGTTATCATACACAGTAACGGACTATCTGTGTTTTACCTGTAGGTGACTTTAAGAGCAGCAGGTGGCGTGAGGGAGTTGAAGTTGTTGTCTGTGGGTCCCATTCCGCTATATTCTACATTCTCTCCATACACTGCCTGCTTTCTGCCTAGCATGAGGCTGGTGTTGAGGTTGAGGGGCTGGTAGCCTTTCTCCAGGTCCAGAGTGTAGACATTTGAGTCCAAGTGATAAGAGACAGAACGTGCCCAACGATTACGCGGTAAACTTTTCTTGGTCTTCAACTCTGGAATTAACATTGAAAAATTGCGTACAGAACGTTCCTATAGAATTATTTCTCAAACTGATATCATACCAATATCATATATGCATATGAATATATTCAACCACCAGATGGAGACATTTGTACTGAAAAGAG